TGTCCGATCGGGTTCAAATCTTGCGGATATTTTGCAAAGGGAGTGCTTTAGAGATATATTGACCTTATGTGATGATGACGTCATCAAGAGACAAGTCACGTGACATTAAGGGTGTAACCTTTAAGGCCCTATATCTCCTGAAGTAGATATCCTATTGGGTTCAAATTTTGCACATATCGTGAAAAGGGATTGCTTTAGAAAAATATTGACCTTATGTGATGATGACGTCATCAGGAGACAAGTCACCTGATATTAAAGGTGCACACTTTAAAGCCCTATATCTCTTGAAGTACATGTTCTATCAGGTTAAAACGTTGCAGATAACTTGAAAGGTTTTACATACGAAAAATGACTTGATGTGATGCCTTAGTTGTTCAAATGTACAAAAGAATGCGAAAAAGCCCTCTGTTCTGTTGGCAAACAGACAGATGACCTCTCGTTGGCTTTTTCGCAACTTGATGACCTCATCATGACATCATCATATGATTTGTTTGAACAAGTAGTCTTTAGCTTTGGCGCAAGATTACTATAAGACAGAAAGAGAAATTGGGTACTTCATGCTCTGTTATTTTATACGAAATATGCCTAAGAGTCAGAATATGAAGTAATATTTCATTAAAATTGTTCAGTTTAAGTGCAAATCACGTGACATGAACTTAAACGAGCAGAGTTTCCGGAAATGAGTTTTTTTGCCCAAGACTTTGTACACGTTTTCAAGGTACAATTTTAAAACCTTTGCGATATTTGATGGTTATCAAAGTGACAGCAAACAAAGACCGTGATACAAAAATTATTGTAAGTAAAGGACGTCATGATGACATCATCAAGTGATTTTTTATTGATTTTTCAATATTTTTTTCGGCCCATTCACGTTGTACACGTTTTTGAGGCACAGTTTTGGTCACTTAGCAATCTTCAATCATTATCAAAATTACACCCAATGACGACCCATATGCAAAGTATTTTCCAAAATGATGATGTCATCATATGATTTGTTATGCAATTTTAAATCTTTAATTTTCCCCATAGACTTTGTACATAGATTTCAAGTTGCAATATCTTCAGCTAGCAGACTTGAATCGGTCTAAAAGTTACACCAAGCACAGATGATCAGGCAAATATTCTATCAAAGTAGTGACGTCATGATGAAGTCATCATGTAAATTATTTTGAAATTTTCAATCTTTATTTTTTCCCATAGCTAACAAAAGTACACAGATTTGAAACAGCTACATGTACATTAACTAAACTACGTGTCCGATTGGGTTGAAACCTTGCATGTATCCACAAAGGGATGTATTTCAGATGAAAACTGGCATGATGTGTTGACAATGTTATCGCGTGACAGGCACTGACACTGAAGAGGCGGGCCAGTATCGGCGACCAGGTCCCTCATCGGTTATTAACAAGTTTATACACGCTCAACCACACTTTTATTCCCTTATTATTAAAATCACTATATCTTCTAAACTACATGTCAGATTCAGCTGAAACCTTTTATCTATTGTATCTATAAATGCAAATGTTTTAGTCAAAACCTCACACGATTTGCAGATGACATCATTATATGATCAGTCACATGAACATCATCACTATAAACCAAAGTTACACTGATAAAACATTCTCTGTTGAACATTCGTTTTAAATTATATTCACTGACTATTTTTTGCCTTTACTTTTCCAGTATACACAAATTGTTCAAAAATGCAAAACAATGCAAAAAAGCCCTCTGTTCTGTTGGCAAACAGACAGATAACCTCTCGTTTCTTCTTCCTCTTCTGACAAAAAGTCCATTTGTTTTGTGCACGTTTCTTCTACCCATGACTTTTGTCTCTTAGCATCTTTGGATCTTCATCAAACTTATGTCAATGAACAACCCTTATGCATAGATGGTCCCATAACAATGATGTCATGATGACATCATCAAGTCATTTATTATTGATTTTTCAGTATTTATTTCAACCCATTGACTTTGTACACGTTTCTGAGGCATCATTTTGGTTACTTAGTATCTTCGATCGTCATCAAAGTCATACCCAGGAAGGAAATCGAGTCAAGATAGTACTAAAATAATGACATCATGATGACGTCATCAAGCATTTTATTATTGATTTTTCAATATTTATTTGAGCCCCATTGACTTTGTACACGTTTTTGAGGCATCATTTTGGAATATTCAGCTATCTTTGATGGTTATCAAAGTCATAACAAGGACGGAACTCGAGACAAAGATAATACTGAAATAATGACATCATGATGATGTCATCAAGTGATTTAATATTGATTTTTCAATATTTATTTCAGCCCCATTGACTTTGTACACGTTTTGAAACCAATTGACTTCGTACATACATACAAGCGTTGCCTAAGCGTTTGCATGCGCACGTCCGTTGGGCTAACCAGGGATGTTGGGTCGATGTAAGCGTTGTTGTGCAGTCTTATTGCATGATTTGGCTCGAAAGTTGTGAAAAACTTGCGCAAAATATCGAGAGAAATGAACTCTGAGATTTCGTGTCATCAGGCCTCAACCAACTGTTTAAAGCAACACCAGTCGTCCATGCATGTATTGACCCTTTGCGCGGTACCACGTCAACACATGGATTCGGTCAGGACGATGTTGACAACGGGCCCATGTGTTTTCTAAGGACCTCTTCATGCTCTTGGGACCTCCCTGACCTAAAATTGCACCAGTTGAGTTCTTAATGGACTTTGTTTTCAAGATGTATTTTTGCGTTGGGAAGATGTTAATTATATATAACGGTTTGCCCGTACCCAACGTATATAAATAAGCACTGTATGCTCAGTGCTTGTCCGAGAGCATGCAAAAAAACCTCACAAGCTTACTCGGGTGGGACTCGAACCCACGACCTCCCACTTACTAGTACAGATGTCTTAACCACTCGACCACCGAGCTTGCTGGGGTCAGCTGGCCGGTCCGAGTCAAATGAAGCAGCGGGTACCGCGAACTATTTTCAAAACAGTGCTTATTTATATACGTTGGGTACGGGCAAACCGTTATATATAATTAATGGACTTTGCTTGATCAAATGACAATTAAGTCACATGACATTGAAGGTGCAGTCTTTAAGGCCCTTTATCTCCTAAAGTACATCTCCAATTGGGTTCAAATTTTGCAGATATTTTGAAAAGGGAGTGCTTTAGAGGAATATTGACCTTATCCGGTGATGACGTCATCAGAAGACAAGTCACGTGACATTAAAGGTGCACTGTTTTAGGCCCTGTATCTCCCAAAGTAGATGTCCAATCGGGTTTAAATCTTGTAGATATCTTGAGAAGGGGGTGCTTTAGAGGAATATTGATCTCAGGTGATGACCTCATCAGGAGACAAGTCATGTGACATTAAATGTGCACTCTTTAAGGCCCTACATCTCCTGAAGTACTTTTCCTTAAGACAGACAAAACCTCTAGTGTTCTTCTTCTTCTCCAAACCCTTTTGTTTTGTACCCATTTTCTTCCACCACCCACTTTAGTCCCATAGCAACTTTGGATCTTCATCATCATTGATGACGTCATCAATTGATTTATTATTGATTTTTCAATATTTATTTCAGCCCCATTGACTTTTTACACGTTTTTGAGGCACGATTTTGGGTACTTGGCGATATTCAATTGTCATCCAAGTTACAGCCGGCAAAGACCCTGAAATAATATCATTGCCAAAGTTATGACATCATGATGATGTCATCACCTTACTTTATATTGATTGTTGTATATTTAATTTTTCCCAATAGCTTTTGTACACATTTTTCTA